TTGTATTCTAATTTATAGTTGTTCATATGTCAGAATTTGATTATAAAAGAAACTCATTTAATATCCTATAATAAACCTGATACATCACTCTTATGAATTAAATTATTCGGTATATATTTATCATTTTCTTACAACTTAATTATATAAATAAATAAAAATTATTATTTTATTTTTTATTTTTTATTTGTTTATATAATTCAGTTGAAAAAATAGTGGGCATGTTTGGCTTATTATTATTATCCATATTCTCAATCCTATTCTCCAAATAATGTTTGGCACATTATTCCAGAAATATTACCTAATTTTTTTAATTACTTTTAATCCACATAAGGTTATTAATTTCATTAAATACCCCCTGAAAAAAAGTTTAAAAAATAACAAAAACACCCCCGTGACCCATACTTGCCAGATTCCGGCAACCACCGTCAGTGATAGCAGGAATCTGTACAACTGCCTATCTGTCGACCATAAATGGCCGGAAGTTCACCGATCTGGCCTTTTCCGGTCTGTGCAGTAACAAAATTTTCCAGCCAGATTTCGGCGGTGGTGGCCGGAATCTGGCACTGCAGGTGGTGGAGGTGTTTTTGTCATTTTATATATTAGAGTCTTTAATTAAATTAGTAAACCTAAGGGCTTTTTGATAAATTTTTAAAGTTTACCTCGTAATACTCCCCTATCCAATAACCCAATACTATCCCCAAAATTCTATCCAAAATACTAAACCAAACCTACCCAATATTGTTTTATATTTATTATCTTGAGGTAACAATTGTAATATATTGATTATTAAAACGTTATAGTGGCATAAATTTTTTCCTTTTCAAAACACAATTATGTTACTTACATGGGAGCGAAGTCTATTGGATTATTACTAGTTTAATAATTAATTAATTGAAGTTAAATGAACCCACGTATTCGATTTGCGAAATGAACGCTGGAGTGGTAAGAGAAAAAAGAGAGACAAAGATGATAGGATTGAGGAGACAAACTCCAATAATTGAAGTTAGATTAGTTTTTTACTTTTGCTTTTTTAACAAATCATAAACAAACGTTTGAAAAGGGTATTTTCCACCACAGTCCACGACCTAACTAGAGACAATGAATGTGTACTGATTTAAGATTGCAATTAGTGGTGCCTCGTTTGTTGAGCTTTTTCTGGATCCGTTGGATTGACATTGTGTCCATCGATTCTACCGAAGATTGAATCAGAGAGATCTATACCTCTTTTGATTATAATTAATAAAGAAAAAAGTCCGCTTCAATATTCTCAAACTGCGAAAAATATAACCAAAATCAACAGAATATAATTTCCATTCGGTAGTTAAAGTTTTTCTTCTTAAACATCTTATCTCTCAGGCTACTCATGGTGTGTCTCTTGATCTCCTCTCTCTTCATTCTCTAACTCGCGAAGAACTTTAGCCATACTGGACTGAAAAGAGGTTCAACAAGTCTCACACTCTCAGGTATATATTTAAAATTGTTAAAAAATTATTAATTCTTTATGATATATATAATATTTTTTTGTGTTTTTATAAACTTTGAATTTAGAAGAGTTTCCCATTACGTTATTTTTCAAGATTTTGTTTAATAAACCAAATTGCTGTCAATGTTGTCTTTAGGTAATGTTGGGTAGGTATTTGAAGTGGGGTGAGCCGAGTCAACTGGTGCAGTAAAATGGTTGGATATTGGCATGCTTGTTTTTCCGAAACTACAAACTTCAAGTCAAAATCGGATTCTTAAAAATCTCGAGCCTGGGCTTGGGTAAAAGTTCTAGTTTTTAATACCCGGACTGGTCTTACTTGGGCTTTCGACCCGAGTTTACCAATGATACGATCAATGATAGACACTTCAGCAGGAGGAACTTTAATGGGAAAAAGTCTTTAAGATGCCTAAAGATTACTTGAAGAGATGCTTACATATAATTACCAATGGCCATCAGAAATGATGACACCAGTTGTTGTAATCAAATAGTAAATGTTCTTTGCTTAATTAGTTAACATATAGTACATTAAGATAATTAAAGGTTCTCCTATTTAAGTGAAAATTGTATGTACGTACACACACGCACATTCACACATACACACATACATACATAGAGTGAAGAAAGCCAAATACACACACATATAGCGAAGAAAGCCAAATAGTAAATATTCTTTGCTTAATTAATATAGTACATTTAGATAGTATTTGGAATCACATAAAGGTTCTCTTAGTTAAGTGAAAATTGCATATCATGATAATTCATATGAATTTATTTATTATTTATCATACAGTTTATACAATATAACTAATCAAGGATTGGAGATTTAGATTGAGTGGATTATTGGTTAATTTGATTATAAATTTCATGCGTGAGTAATATAAATTATTTCTGCCTGGTTACATAGAATGCTCTAAAATTTATTAGAAATAACGAGGAAGTTAAGTATAAAGTTGAAGTGGTTTATGTTCTTTACTTGATTCACTGATAAAGAAAAAGATCTCTATCCCTTTTGATTATAAATAGTAGAGTGAATGTCAATTTCCCACCCAAGGTTTGATTATAAATATTTCCAAATTGTCAAACACATCTCCAAAATCAACCTAATATAATTTACATTGTGTGTTGAAGTTTTTCTTATCAATTCCAAACATCTATCTTCCTGCATGGCACTTGTGGTGTGTCTCTTGATCTCCTTTCTCCTCACTATCTAACCCGTGAAGAATTTCAGTCATAGTTGGAGTCAAGTAAGATCGAAAAACTCTCACACTTCCAGGTATATGTATTTAAAAATTGTTAAAAGATTACTAATTGTATCCCTTTTGATTATAAATAGTAGAGTGAATGTCAATTTCCCAGCCAAGGTTTGATTATAAATATTCTCAAACTGCCAAACATATCGCCAAAATCAACCTAATATAATTTACATTGTGTGTTGAAGTTTTTCTCCTCAATTCCAAACATCTATCTTCCTGCATGCTACTTGTGGTGTGTCTCTTGATCTCCTCTCTCCTCACTATCTAGCCCGTGAAGAACATCAGTCATAGTTGGAGTCAAGTAAGATCAAAAAACTCTCACACTTCCAGGTATATGTATTTAAAAATTGTTAAAAGATTACTAATTCTCTTTATGATACGTGTAATATTTTATGTTTTTTATAAACTTTGAATTTGGAAGAGTTTCTCATTGTGTCATCTTTCAAGATTTTGTTTAATAATATAAATTTCTCTCAATGTTTGTCTTTTGGTAATGCTGGGTGGGCATTCGAAGGGGGCTGAGCCCAGGTCGGGTTTCTTTTACACCTCTAATGTTGATTTGGTTATTTTTTCAATTTCAAATATTGCAGCATATAGGTGGGGTTGGTAGCACTTGCACCATTTAACTTTATTATATTATATTTAATTTTGTTAAAGTTTTCTGTCAACTTATTAATACTTAGGGTGCATTTGATTTAGGAAATGTTGGATTACTAAGAATGTTAGATTACTGGAATCTTATATTACCTTAGATTATTGTGAATTTTTAGGAAAATGTGTTTGGTTAGTTAGTGGGTATGTTATATTAATATGTTTGGTTACGGAGAATAAATTAGTGGGTATGTTATTTAAATTACTAAATTGCCTTCTTTTTAAATATTAATATAATAATATTATTATTATTAATTTTTAAATAATTTCTTTTAACTCCCAATATTTTAGATTTAGCTAAAACACCCCGCTTATATAAAACTTTAATTTATGAAAAAATCACCCCCACCCCCACCCCCACCCTCACCCCCTACCGCCACTGCAAACCACCGTCGGAAGCCACCGAAAGTCGTCGTGACCTCGAGGCTCCGATGTGATCGTTTTTAGCCATATTGATGGCCAAAAACAGCCATATCAGGCCAGATCCTTGGCTATTATTGGCCAGATCTGGGCGAGATCTAGCTGTTAACGGTCAGATCTCGCCCAGATATGGTCGCTAATAGCTAGGGAATGGCCAGATCTAGCCTGATGAAAATAGATCTAGTTGTTAACGGCCAGATCTTGCCTAGCTTTGGCCGTTAATGGCCAGGGAACGACCAAATCTAGCCTGATATGGCCAGAAACGGCCATATCGGAGCCTCCAGCAACTCTCAGCGACTTCCCGACGACGGTTTTTGGTGGTTGGCTTGTTGTCGATAGTGGTGGCTAGGTGGTGGTGGTGGTCTATAATTTGTTTAAAATATAAGAGCATTATTATTCAAAAACTTAATTAAAAAAGGTAAAATTAAAATGGTATATTAATGTAAATTGATTTTAAAATAGGGGTATTATTGTCCAATTTTTTTATTAATAAGGAATAAAATTGTAACAAAAATAAGATTACCTTAATAATCTTAAATTATCTAAGAAAATGGAGGTAATCATATTACCTCCAATATTACCAACAGTAACAACTATTGGTAATGCAAGATTATTGAAATTTTATATTACTTGACAACCAAACACGGTAATTAAGTAATATAAGATAATATAACCCCAGTAATCTTAGATTATCTCCAACCAAACGCCTCTTATAGTAATAACTAATAGTATAATATACACTCCATTGTCCTTAATTGTACTTTGAAACTAAATTAATGTTAATTTTCATATATAATCAAGTATTTTTCATGTTAAGTTAATTTAAGCATTCTTTGATATACATATGAATTATTGTATTAGAGACAAAATATTTGTAATTAGTTAAAATATTAAATTTTGAACAATAAACTTTAAACTTAAGAGGACAACGTTATCTCTTCACTATGTGATATTCACAGCATTAACGGTTGATGGTATTGCAATATGTTACTAATTAGCCCTCTTCGCAATAACTAATAGCACCTTATATGTCATATGTGTGTAACCAGCTGGATTGCTCCCACTTCAAACATTAAGCTGTGCAATTGACTGATTAGGTAGAATTAATAGGAGAAAAATTTTGCAAATTTTTTGTTGGATTATTCATTAATTCTTTTCCTGCCTCCATAGGGAAGTTTTTGAATTGGAGAATGATGACAGGCAAGTCTAGGCCTTATCAGGCAGCCTTGGAGGAGGATTGGGATTACCTGAAGAAATTCTTCAAACAAGAAAATGCTTCTGCTTTGTCAATTCCTCTAACGGCCGCCAGGGACACTGCATTTCACTTGGCAGTTTTCAGCAATAGAAAACAGCCGCTTGAACATTTACTTGATATTGCCAAAGAAAACCCTATGGCAATGTATGCATTCTCGGCAAAGAACGAGTACGGAGACACAGCTCTTCATGAGGCTGCTGCAAATGGGAACCTTGGGGCGGTAAACCTTCTGGTGAAATACAATGAAGAGCTCTCTAATGAAGATGAAGAAACTGAGTTCCTTGAGGACATTAATGGCAAAGGCAAAACCCCGCTGTTTAAAGCTGCTGGATATGGGAGAACAAAAGTGGTGAAGTTTTTAGCCTCAGAGCAATTTAAACAACTGATCAAAGAAAGAGAATATAAAATTACAGAAACAGGAATTAAAGAAGTACAATATACAAAGTTGAAAGACATTCACCGCCAATTAATAACCCATATCAAGAGAGAGGCTAAACCTGAACCTTCCAAACCGCCTATACCTACCCAAGAAGAAGAAACCATAGAAGTGCATGGACCCTCCATTCTGCACGTTGCCATCCGAGGAGAGTATTTTGGTCTCTTTCTCTGCCCCTCTAGCTTGTTTATATTTGCTTTGAATTGAAATATTCAACTACTATCTGATGTGCTAAGTTCTTTTCAAATTTTCGCTCAGAAACGGCTCTACTGTTACTGAAATTGGATAAAGGCTTAGCAACATTGGAGGACAAAAATGGCTGGACCAGTCTTCACCTGCTAGCCACTATGCCCTCTGCTTTCAAAAGTGGATACCGAATGGGCACATGGATTAGCAGAGTCTTCTACTTCTGTATGTACTCTCCCACTTTCTATACTGTAACATATATTAAAAACAAATAGACTGAACGGGAGTTTTTTTTTTTTTTTAAACACTTATTATAGATTTGAATTTTTAAGTTAGGGCCACTGAAACGGCTTAAAAAATTGTTTAGTTGACAATAAAAATAGTTAACTTCTCATCAAGTTATTGGATCAAATCGATTCAATAACAAATGATTTGTCACAAATTTATATTAAAATGATCACCTTTATATGATTTATTGATTCATGTAATTAAAATTAGTAATAAAAGTGGTGTTTATTCAGGATGTCATTGAAAAAATCTGGTATTAAAACTTTCGTAGTTAGGTTTCGACTAACAATTATATTAATTTCTATTAGAGAATATATATATATATATATATTGTTAAAAGACGATCATTTTAACACTAATATATTATTGAAACTTTCTAAAAAGTGTTTTTGACTACCAAAATTCGGTATGCGAGAAATTTTGTTGGTCAACTAGATTAAAAAGTTTCTTAAATAAATAAATTTTACATCACATTTAACATTCTGATATAAGTTTATATATATCATTGAAGAATGGTATTTTAGTTATTTAATCAATGTGTTTGTGAATAATTTTCAATATTTGTATGTAAGTTATGAAATTTAACTTATTCTATAAAGTAAGTTATGAAATATAACTTATTCTATAAAGTTTATCTTAAAAGAAGAGATTATGAAAAACAAACAATAAAAATTTTAAAAAGCACTTAAATTCATCCAAAAAATAATAACAATTTATCTTTATATTTCTGTATTAACAATTTTTTTTTGCTAATATGAATTTATTTTAGAAAGAATTGAATGATGAAAATTAAAAAAAGAAAAAAGGATATGAATGATATCTGATGTATCATTAAAACTTTAATTTGGTGACCAATTGATCCATATAATTCTAAATTGAAAATATTTTATTGAAAGGTTATCTTCATATGTGTGTTAATAAAACATATTTATTAAGAAATAAGAATGTTATATTAATAGTAATGGTTATATATGCACGTTTCAATTTCTAAGAATGTGTGCCCTTAATACATGCAATTTAAAAGAACATTTTGTTAATGATATTTATATATTTCTTATTAATTCCTAAATTTATAGGCCTTCCAATCAATGATAGGATAGATGATGAAATGGGGAGTTGTTTTAATCTTTTCAAAGGTAATAGATGAAACTTTTCTTTTGTACTTATTTAATTGCTTAACATATGTGCCTTCAAACATATATGTTAAGGAGAAACCTTGTTACTGAAATGTACTTTTTATTAATACCTAAACTCTACAGGCTTTCGTTTCGGTGATAGTGTAGATGATAAAGAGCTTTGTTGTTTAAATCTCTTTAAAGGTAACATATAAGAATTTATGTTATTTATTTTTTAATATTTTTAAATAAGAATTTGACTTTTTTCTGTTAAATTCATTTACTTTGCTACATTATATGAATCATGTAAATGCCGTAAACATGAATAGGGTGGTGGATACTGGGAAAAATCTGTTCACCAGCGAGAAAAATATGCAAAGCAAAGAGAAAGCATAAACTTGCTTCTAGGCTTGCCAAGAGCCTAACAGAAGAAGATGATTCATGGATTGCAGAAGTCATCCGAACAATGTCATCACCTGATGCTGATGAACAAGGAAATATTCAAGCTAGAGCACCGATTGAAGAAGATTCTAAGCCAAGCCCTTTGTTTATGGCAACTGAAAAAGGAATAATAAAGATTGTCAAAGAGATACTTAAATTCGGCCCCCAATTAATTGAGCATAAGAATCATCTAAAGCAGAACATATTGCATGTGGCCATTAAGCACCGTCAGAAGAAGATATTTGATCATGTGAAAAGGATGAAGATACCAATGATAAGGTTAGTCCGAGGGATTGACAAAAATGGCTACACCATTTTACACCATGCGGCAAACACGAGGGATGACAGTAGAGAAATTCACCCTGCAGGACCTGTATACGAACTGCAAGAAGAGCTAAAGTGGTACAAAGTAAGCCCATCTTTATCCTACTTCAAGGATTTTATTCATGTATGGATTAAAAAATAACCTGTGTTCTCAGGGTATACATATGTAAATATCTTTTGTATTTTAAATTTTATTCATTATTCGAATCCGATAATTAACAATGAAACTTTCAAACAGCAAAAGCATAATATTTTAAAGAAAATAATTGCGGTGGCAGTGGCTGATTTAAGAACAAATTAATAAATATTGCTATATGTTTATATATGCAGCGTGTAGAGAAGATGACGCCACCCCACTTCCTCATGTCGCGAGATTCAGAGTATAAAAAAACTAGCAAAGAAGTTTTCGATATGAAGCACCATGAACTCCTGGAGGAAGCACAGAAATGGATAAAAGAGACTTCTCAATCTTGCTCTGCAGTGTCTGTTCTTGTTGCCACCGTTGTCTTCGCAGCTGCCTACACCGTACCTGGAGGTTCCAATGAGAAAGGCTATCCAGTCTTCCTCAACAACAATTTCTTCTTGATTTTCACAGTCATGGACGTGGTTGCTTTAGCCTGCTCCTTGACCTCGGTGGTGATGTTCTTGTCCGTCCTCACGTCACCTTTTCATTATGAAGAATTTATTCACAGGCTTCCTCGAAAACTGACAATAGGCTTTGCCTTGCTCTTCGTTGCTTTGACTACAACAATGCTTGCATTTGCGGCAACATTATTGCTGATCGTTCGTTTCGAAAAGCCACGTTGGACCACCACTCTCATTTACACTGCCGCATTTCTTCCGGTCAGCATATTTGCACTCACGCAATTCCCCATGTATGTTGCTTTTCAGTTAACTTTGCTCAAGTTTTATAGGTGGATTAAGAAGGATCTTCGTGGTAAACAGTTTAAGAAGTGGCTGGCGACCAAGTTTCAATGTTATAAGAAGAATGATGATCATGAGACTGGACCCCTAGTATGAGGCATTTATATAAGTTGCTTGAAATGGTAAAGGAGGCTGATATGTCACCAATGCAAGAGACCTGTATTGGAATTTAATTAAAGGCTTGTATATTTATTAGTTTGCCGAGTCAAATTACGTTTTAGTCTATTGTTAATTAGTTAATGACTTTGTCCCACTCAAATAATGACATAATGATACATTTCTATCCACCGACTTTTAAAATGCTATTTTACTATTCAAATTTATAGTCCGACTGTGAACAAAGAATAAACTTGGTCTAGGCTGTTAGAGCTTTTGAAGAGAGGAGGTTGATGAATCTTTTGATGGTGGAAGATTGGATTTTGGTGGTTGAGATTGATCTGAATTTGACTTGGGAAGGGCAATTATGCAAACCCTAATCGCTCGGTTGCTAGTGATTGGTTGGGTTGGCGGGAGTAAGGTTTGAGGGGTTTTAGTAAGTGATGATCAGGGAAGAGAATGGAGGTGGTGTGAAGTTGTAACCATATTGGAATAAAAAACAGAATATAAATTTAGGTAATAAAGTGGTATTTTAAAAAGCTATAGGTGAAAAAGTGTTATTAAGCCATTATTTGGATGAAAAAAAGTTAGTTTACTCTTTGTTAATTAAGTTAGCATTTGACAGGTCAGGAAGCTGTTAATTGATTGTTGAAATATCAAATTCAAGTGATTGTTAGTGATTTGTCCTATAATCATGTATGCGCAAACTTTTAGATATAATCTATAAATTTATTTTGTTTAATTTGTGGATTGCTTCTATTTTAAGTGAGTATGTATGATACATGTCAAAAGTCTAAAATGGGTTTTTTAATTATAAATTATATTATTAAAATAGGCTTTTGTAAATTTTAATTTTTGTTTGTAGATCAGCGTTGATTGACAACTTCCTATCATTTTAATATTTTTAAATTTATAAATAAATTACTAATTATTTATTTAATGAATTAGGTTCTTATTTAAGTTTATATTGTTTATGCAAAGGGTATTTTTGTAATTGACTTTCCAAAGCAGTTTTTAACCCTAAAATCTACAAAAGCCTGTTTTTATAATTTTTAAATATATAAAATGATTGAATAACTTAAAAATAGTTTGTATATAGTTTTTTTTATATATAATATTATTTATTATTTCCTCCATCATCCCACATCTTATATCTCATTAATATTTTAACAATCATATCAATTTCCAACGTAACTCGATTTAGCTGGCGCACCCAACATCATTAAAAAAAAAACATAAACTCTTTCAAACAAAACACCATTACCACTTCCATTAACGTTTAATAATATATCACTTGCGACACATTGCAACGACCACGGTGGATTATGTTGTGATGTGGCAATTGATCTATGCCCACGTGGAAGTCAAAATATAACCGGGCTAGTCAAAGTTACTATGTTAAAGACTAAGGGGCGATTCGGTCATATCTAGTCTTCAATAAACCTAATCCAAATTAGGTTTTGGCCATTCTGTTTTCTCGAGCTTTCTCTCTTGGTTAACAGAGAGAGAAAGTTTGTTACGAATCTCTGGATGCGCTGGAAATTTGAAGAGCGTTGATGGAATCAAACGGTGGTGGTAGGTCTTAGCTGGATTTTTCCTTATGCTTTCACTTGTGTATAAATCTGTCACTAATGTTGGTTACTGTGTGGTGTGTATGAGAGGTGAGGAGATCTAGGTTTTATAGAGGGGTATTGTGCACTGTGCAAAGGGTGAGCATAAATCTCTGTAAGGTTCTCTATTCTCATAGTAAAATCTGCTTATTGCCCTGAAGAGTGGATGTAGGTAATCTATTTGATTACCGAACCACTATAAATCATTGTGTCCTGTTTTATTGCTTGTGATTTATCTGCTGTGTTAGATGTTGTTTTGCTTTGGAATTTTGTTTTTGGTCTCTTTGATTGCAACAAGTGGTATCAGAGCAAGGTTCTAATTCTAGCACCTAGGGTTTATTCTAGGTTGAGAGATCTTTTGCGAATCTGAAGCATCTAGGCTTAGATCTGGTTTTCTGTTTATAGCTACAATTTTAAGGTTTCTTTTTAGTCTCGGGTAATTTGGGGCTTTTATACTCTGGGCATCTGTGAAGGCTAGGAACCTAGAAAATGTCTAAGTTTGAGGTGGAGAAATTCACAGGGGATAATGATTCGGATTGTGGAAGATGAAAATGAGGGCTATCTTAGTTAAGGATGGACTGTCTAATACTTTAAAGGGTGAGGATAGTTTACCAGACTCCCTGTCTGAGAAGGAGAAGAAAGACCTGTTAGATAAAGCCTATAGTACCTTAATCCTAGGTTTAGGGGATAAGGTCTTAAGAGAAGTTAAGAAAATGACCACACCAGCTGAAATTTAGGAAAAACTAGACTCTCTATACCTGTCAAAGTCTTCTCCTAATAGGTTAGTTTTAAAACAGAAACTGTTAAGTTTTAAAACGGATGAAAAGAAAATATTAGGAGAAAATATTAATGACTTTATGAAACTTGTACAGGATCTATAAGGGCTTAACGTTAAGGTTGAGGATGGAGATCAAGCAGTGATTCTTATTAACTCCCTTCCTAAAATCTTTTCAAATTTTGTGGACACCCTCAAATCTTTTAAACTAGATGAAGTAGTGGTAGCAATTACTGCTAAGGATGCTGAATTTAAAAGGGAAGGTAAACTAGATGGTGAGGGGTTTTATGTGAGAGGAAGACCTGAAAAGAAAGGCCACAAGAAGGGGAGTTTCAGGGGTAGATCAAAATCTAAGTTCAAATACATTAGAAAATGTTTTCACTGTCATAAGGAATGTCATTTTAAGAGGGAATGTCCTGATAGGAAGAAAAAATCAAGGGAAAATGATGCTAGTGGGAGTGTAGATATAGCTTCTGATGGTTATGAGAGTTCTGATGTGTTAAGAGCTTCTGAAAATGAAACTGATGCTGAATGGGTACTTGATTCTGGTTGTTCTTTCCACATGACTCCAAATAGGAGTTTTCTGTCAAACTTTAAGAAACTAGAGTCTAGAAAGGTTTTGATGGGCAATAATGCAGTTTGTAGAGTCTTAGGAATAAGACATGTAAGGCTAAATTTGCATGATGGAAGTTCAAAATGGCTCACAGATGTTAGATACATACCAGAGCTAAAAAGAAATTTAGTTTCTCTAGGAAGTCTAGACTCAATTGGCTATAGCTATAAGGCTCAAGGTGGTGTCCTTAAAGTAACTAAAGGGTCTTTAGTTGTAATGAAGGGTAAGATGAGGAATGGGCTATACATTCTAAATGGTTCAACCATCACTGGAACAATAACTGTATCCTTATCTCAGAAGTCTAATAGGACAACTTTATGGCATAGGAGGTTAGGGCATGTTAGTGAAAAAGGATTACTTGAGCTTGGTAAGCAAAAGGTTCTAGGAGGAGATAAAGTAGAGAAGTTGGATTTCTGTGATCATTGCATTTATGGGAAGATGAACATAATTAGGTTTAGTGTGGGAAACTACTGTTCTAAGGCTATTTTAGATTATATCCATTCAGATGTGTGGGGACTAGCTAAATATCAATCTTTGGGAGATTGTAGATATTTCATTAGCATCATAGATGATTACTCTAGGAGGGTATGGATTTATTTCTTGAAAACTAAGGGATAGGCCTTTAGGAAATTCAAAGATTGGAAGATCATGATAGAAAATCAAACTAGGAAGAAAATCAGGAAACTTAGAACTAATAATGGGTTAGAATTTATCAATGAAGAGTTTGATAATCTGTGTAGGGAAAGTGGAATTCTGAGGCATAGAACAGTAAGACACACACCCCAGCAGAATGGTTTAGCAGAAATAATGAATAGGACTATTCTAGAAAAGGTTAGAAGCCTATTATCCTGTTCTAAGTTACCTACCAAGTTTTGGGCAGAGGTTGCCCTTACTTCTATTTACCTAATTAACAGAATACCTTTCTCAACTATTAGTTTAAAAACACCCATGGAGAAATGGTCTGGGCATCCTGCAAATTATAGTAACCTTAGGGTTTTTGGCTGCACTGTTTTTGTTCATGAAAAAACAGATAAGTTACAACAAAGGGCTATTAGGTGCATTTTCTTAGGATATCCTTATGGCATTAAGGGTTACAAATGTTGGGATATTGGAGGGAAAAAGTGTATTATCAGCAGAGATGTGAGGTTTAATGAGGATGAGTTGGGTGGTTTGAGTCAGGAAGAGAGTGACAATGCAGATAGGACAGAGGTGTTTAATCTGGATCTAGGTGGAGATATTCCAAATCTGAACAATCCTGTTTCAGACTCTGTTTCAGATTCTCATACCCAGGAGGATGAACCTAGCTTAGGTGATAATGATGATAATGATTTTGATGGAAATGACTTACAAAATTATCAACTAGCTAGAGATAGAGAAAGAAGGGAAATTAGACTACCTAGGAGGTACTCACATGCTAACATGGTAGCATTTGCTCTTCAAGTTGCTGAAGAGATTGATGATGAACCTAGAACTGTTAAGGAAGCCATGATTAGTAAAGATTCTAAGGAATGGAAATTGGCCATGCAGGAAGAGTATGATTCTCTAATTAAAAATCAAACCTGGATTCTTGTTAACAACCCTGAAGGCAGTATGGTGGTTAAGTGTAAATGGGTTTTCAAAAGAAAAGAAGGTATACCAGAGGTAGAAGCACCTAGGTTTAAAGCTAGGTTGGTAGCCAAAGGTTTCACACAGGTTGAAGGAGTAGACTACAATGAAATTTTCTCACCAGTTGTGAGACACACCACTATCAAAATTCTCTTATCCTTGGTAGCTCAGTTTGGTTTAGAATTAGTGCAATTAGACATCAAAACAGCCTTCTTAAATGGTGATTTAAAAGAAAGAATTCTGATGGAGCAGCCTGAGTTGTTTGAAAAGGGGTCTAAAAACCAAGTCTATTTGTTGAAAAAATCTTTGTATGGATTAAAGCAATCACCTAGGTAGTGGTATAGGAAATTTGATTATTTTATGGTGAATGCTGGTTTTATTCAAAATAGCTTTGATG